TATACATGGTCGTTTTTTTCGGCTAAAAACGCCTTACTTTACATGGTCATTTTTTTCAGGTTAAAACACCTTTCTATACATGGTCGTTTTTTTCGTGTTGAAACACCTTACTATACATGGTTGTTTTTTTCGGCTAAATACGCCTTACTAACATGGTTGTTTTTTTCGGCTAAATACGCCTTACTAACATGGTCGTTTTTTTCGGCGAAAAACGCCTTACTATATACATGGTCGTTTTTTTCGGCTAAAAACGCCTGACGATACATGGTCGTTTTTTCGGCTAAAAATGCCTTACTATACATGGTCGTTTTTTTCGGCTAAAAACGCCTTAGTATACATGGTCGTTTTTTTTTCTTTCGGCTAAAAACGCCTTACTATACATGGTCGTTTTTTTTTTTGGCTAAAAACGCCTTCCTATACATGGTCATTTTTTTCGGGTCGTTTTTTTCCGCTAAAAACGCCTTCCTAGACATGGTCGTTATTTTCGGCTCAAAACGCCTTACTATACATGGTCGTTTTTTCGGGTTAAAATGCCTTACTATACATGGTCGTTTTTTTGTCTAAAAACAGCTTACAATACATGGGCGTTTTTTTCGGCTAAAAATGCCCTACTATACATGGTCGTTTTGTTGGGCTAAAAACGCCTTACTATCCATGGTCGTTATTTTCGGCTCGAAACGCCTTACTTTCCATGGTAATTTTTTTCGGCTAAAAACGCCTTACTATCCATGGTCGTTATTTTCGGCTCAAAACGCCTTACTTTCCATGGTAATTTTTTTCGGCTAAAAACGCCTTACTATCCATGGTCGTTTTTTTCGGCTACATGGTCGTTTTTTTCGGCGAAAAACGCCTTCCTATACATGGTTGTTTTTTTCGGCTAAAAACGCCTTACTATACATAAACTGGGGACATAAACTGGCATTCAGCTTTTTCTCTATAGTCAGCGCCTACAAGGAGGAGTAGGCTTAAAGTCAATAAAATCCAAAATATTGGGGCGATTGTTTTACTATTTTCGGAGGTTGAAGTTGGAATGAGGATAAATGTGCACATGAATTTTGTTCACAGTCCATCGGTGCTTTCAGACACTTTGCAATGTTAAGCTTTTTTTATTTTTATTTTTATAGTCAAGGTTTTAGACTGTCCCAGAGGAAATATCCATCCATCCATCCGATATGCTTATCCTCACGAGGGTTGCGGTTGTGCTGGAGTCAATCCCAGCCTGTTTTCGGGCAGTCACTGGGCTCCACCCTGAACTGGTTGCCAGCCAATCGCAGGGCACACATAGACAAACAACCATCCCCGCTCACACTCACACATAAGGACAATTTAGAGTGCGCCATTGTTGGAATAAATCTAATTCTGTTATCCCATATTTACTCTCTGTGTAACTTTAAAACCTGTTTCAGAGTGATACCTTGCAAATACCTCATATTCAATGGGGTAGGTTGATAATGGTAGACTTGTCGGACCGGGAGAGCTCAGGCTGCTCCTGTTCTAGCTTTTAAGATAATATCTTGTTGTTAAGTTAACAGCTTCTGATCAAATTAACTGTTGCTTGTGAGAAGATAACATCAACCCCAGGACACCAGGTGAGGGACATCCCAAGCTGTGTACGTGGACCACCGACATCCAGCAGGAGCCGTTTGACGACATCTCAGGAATAAACTGTGTGTTCTCATTGAAACTCTGCTTTACTGAAACTGTTGTGGAATGTGAAAATACTCCCCACACCCATTAGAAGATCGTGTATCAGGGACACCCTTCCAATAAATGCAAGGAGACAAACGCGGTCTCTTCAGAGTTGCCCCGGAACCTGTAACGGTTTACATGGCAGAGCCAGCTGGAGAGCTGCTTCGAGATTGTGAACCGAGACATGTTTTAGCGCACTCTCTCTTGCAAGAAAGAAAAGCATGCCTGCCTCCTGAGTCTTCCTGTTCCTGATGTGTTCTTTGCGTCAGATTACCAGCATTAACCTAACAGCCATTAATTGAATTGAATTGAATTGAATACAACTTTATTGTCAAATACCTACCATTCATGTTTTTAGAATGCGGGAGGAAACCGGAGTACCCGGAGAAAACCCACACAGGCACGGGGAGAACATCCAAAGTCCACATCGGGAGTCAGGAGCTCGGAATCCAAACCTGGACCTCTGCACTGTCAGGCCGACGTACTAACCAGTCGACCACCGCGCCACACCAGAGGACGTGTCCATATTTTTTTGCTGCCATTATAACGCTCTTTTGTGTCACATTCACATTTGAGCTTCAGTGAAGCACACTGCACCAGAGTTCATTTTCAAGCAGACCACAATCACCTTGCACACACATGAACCCCACACACTGAGCAATTGCAACAGGGTAGAATACTTTTTCAACCGAACCAAGTGTGAACACGCCCGAAAAGATGAACACGCTGAAACAAATCAGCAGGTGATGTTTAGTCTATGTAAAAAGCTGCCTGTACAAGTGGTAACGGCTCGTCAGTCATCTTTTTAAATACGACAAAGTGGTTATCAAAAGCTGTTTTGAGCACTTATTCTATAATCCAGTTTAAGGTTCATATACAGCGCGTGCTCTGTCCACACCAGTAAGACAATTCAGCTCACTGCACTTGAACACGTTTTTGTCACATTGACTCAATTTTATTTTGTCATGTGGTTGCATGAAATAAAATCCTCAGGATCCAGATACATTTTGACAGAGACCCCACATATACTTAAAATACGTACCTGGATCCAGAGGATTTTATTTCATACAACCACTTGACGAAATACAAATTGAGTAAATTTTGGTTATGCACATTTGTTGCAAGGAGAATAAAAATGCATTCTTGTTAAGCCAGAAAGGGGCTAAAAGGATACTCGGTGACTGAGTAGGTTAATTTGAAAAGCCTCGGGAGAGGAATCGAATGCAGCCCGAGTTAAACGAGAGACAAGCTGTCCAACAGCCAACTCTAACAACACACAATGACACGAAATATCTTAATTCTTCACAATTCTGAATATTGCTTTCTACTTAATATCTCTTCCTGTTTTGATTATGAAAGTGTTGGGCAAGATTTATACAGTATGTGTGCATTCTATTTCATGAAACCCTGACTGTGGATGCTTTGATAAAAAAAAAAAAAAGACTTCTCGGCCATGATGTTTACATGCTGTGTACGTCATAATATCGATGAACACTTGCTGCAAGAATCAAATATGTCACCGTTTCGAAAGATTCTTTCACAGTCTGCATGCTGAATTGTTTCAGTGAGGACAAAAGCAATGAAGAAATGTTCAAACTGTTTCCGTAAAGCCATTGGACATTTATTCAAAATCCGTGATACACTGTTTATAGTAGGACAACTCCATGTTCTTAATGAGGCCTAACTACAATAATTGACAATTGTGCTGCTTGTACGACGATGAAATTACCAAATTCAAGTCATTAACATCTCCTGGTTCACTAGTACTGGTGGCAAGCATATGTCGACTCGTGCAATTCCGCTTCATTTGTAACATATCGTGGTCATAATAATGTACAGAAATGTCATACAATAGTGCAAGATTGTCGTGGGAAAGACGTTACTTGTTAGACGAGTCGTTCTACCAGTGGGCTGAAATTTCTTACTGGTGAGGACAAAGAATGTACTCATGCATGGACTCCGGGACATTGAATAAATGCTCAAATGGCTTTCCATAAGTCCTCTCACCTTGATGAGTACAAACACAAAAAGATCAGGCACTTTTTTGCAATATCATACAAGAGTCCACAGAGATATTTACATTGTTTCAACAGGTGGAGCGAACTAATGGGA